GGTTGAAGGTGGGAATAGATTATAGACAGGGAAGAAGTTGAGCCATTACTATTACAATGTATTGTTTGTTAAATTCATGCAATGTGATTGGTGATCTACGTATCAGACCCTGTCCCAGAGAGCCTGTAATTTAAAGCTGAGCTGAATCTCCAGGGCTGTACACCAGGCCTGAAGACTAGAAATAGTTTACAATCAAGTTTACCTGAAGGCAAGCTCACAAAGAGTGGTGATTAAATGAACAGACTCATTGAGAGTCAGTAGGACCTGTGTTCCTAAATCACTTAAGAACTTGTGAAAATCCTTCTCTCGGGTAATTGTTTTAGAAATAGCATATGTAATATGGGACAGGATACCGTTTGATAAAACAGAGGAACAGGACAAAGATAGACAACAAGACTATTAAACATGCCAGACAAAGATAGAAACACACCCTTCGTGAAAAGGATCACGTGCACGCATACAAAATACTGCTCTGTGGGCAGATAATGAAAGAAATGAAATGTATATCCTGAAGCCAGCCAATAAATTGTACACTAGCCTATTGTTTAAGAATGAAGCCTCGGGCTAAGACCTTGAGGGGCAGTAACTAAAAGCTAATACTGTTTTGTTTCTGTCACTCCATAAGCCGTTACCTCTTCCCTGACACTCCAAGCTCTGGAGTCTTTTCAGGAGGTGAGAAAATAAGGTGTGACATTTGTGTATAATCAAAACAATCCAATGTGGCTTAAGTTTCAAATATATATTTCAGTAATCCATTAAGTTAAACTATGGATTAATATCCATAGAACAAATGGACCTTTATAAGAAATTAAATAATGATTAAAAATACAAGGAAATCATAGTGTGCTCATGAAAATTCCAGAACCAGAAAAATAGGATTATGTCATCAAATAAATCATTTGCTGCAAATTATTTACTCTCCTAAGAGGGATATTGCCCTTCTTGCCAGGACATTTCCAGATCTTTACAATTTGTTACCTGTTTTGCCACATATATTCATTGAGTTTCTAATCCATTAAAACCAATGTATTCAAAATAGAATGTGGCTTTTCCCCCTGCTATATTTTAATCTTAGTAATGTTGCTTAGAGAGTAGACTGTTAGTGTAGTTTTGATACAGGATAAAAGCACCAATGTAACTGCATGGCAAAAAGATAACCCTGATCTTGTATGCTAACTTCTTACTTGAAGTACTACAGTAGAAAGCCACAAGTTATGTGTCATCATACTGAATCATAGAAAAACAGGGCTGGAGGGGAGCTCAGGAGGTCATGTAGTCCAACCCTCTGCTAAAGGCAGGATCATAGGCGATGTGTAGGAGGAGGACGGAGGGGAGGGGGCCCGCCCTAAAATTGGCCCTCACCAGCTGGGGAGTGGGGAGTGCCAACTGGTGCCCCCCCTGAGAAGCGCTAGCGATTGGCCGCTGGCCCCCTGCCCCCTAGTCAGCAATCAGCAACTGGGGGACCACCACCCCCCCCAGAGCCAGGAGGCACCAGTCGCCTGTCCCCACCCCTCCACCCTCAGAGCCAGGAGGCACCAGTGACCCATGGGCAGGATCATCCCTCATTAACCCATCCCAGTCAGGAAACTGCCCCATAAAGAACCTTAGAATTCAAAATATATCTTAGAAACTTGATTTCAGTACTTGTGTAACTTGTCAAAAATGTTGTAAAAATAATAGTATTGATGAGTCAATTACTGAGAAGTCAGGCAGTACCCTGGTGCACCTGTTGTTCTTAAACAGCTGTTTCTATTACAGGGAGTATTTTTTACCTAAATGGTAAGGAAAATTTTCCCAGGGGGAAATATTGCTGATAAGCAGTTGTTGCTTCTACCAGATATTGCTGCAAATGGACATCAATTGTATGGCACTGTAGGTAAATAACAGGTGACACTGAATTGAAGCCATCACAAGCTCAACTTGAGCTAGAATAAAACTGAAGAGACTGAAACTTTTGTTTGCCTCTGAAATTTTGTCTTAATTGATCAAAGTGGTCAAAATGTTGACCTATTTAACTGCCCCATCACTGCAAAGATAACAAAATGCTTTGTGGCCTTTACACTACAGGGAAATAATTGATCTCTTTTTAAATTAAAGATGATGATACAATTTTCAGGCAGTCAGCTGAACTGGGAAGGTAGAATTTCATCTGCTGAGTGTTTTAGAACTGTATCATATAATTTGCAAAAACCCTGTTAGTAGATTTTCCATTAATATTCAATTAGAGCTAGTATCTTAATAAATGCTACCACAAGGCAAAGTAAAAATACCAATATACACTTGGGCCTAACTTGAAGGATATGTAGGAATTTAAAGATTTAGATAAGCAATTAGTAGAATTATTCAAAAGCACTTTTGATATCTTAACTCGTTGCTTTCAGGTGAGTTAGTTGTATAAGCACTTGAAAAAAATCAAGATTAGATGACTAAGTACTTCTAAAAATCTGGCCTTTAATGAACATTCATAAGTAAAACCTCAAATCTCCAAGACTTAATCCCATAGCAAAATTTTGCGTCTTATAGGATGGCAGTCTTTTCCCATATAAATATGGGGAACTCGACTATGCTGTGCAGAAGTTTTTTTTATTTTTTTTAATGAATTGAAATTTGCCATTTTTAGTGATATAACAATTTTTGAAGGGGGAAAAAAAACAATAGTTTTACCTGCATGCAGAAGCTAACAATATTGTGAGGATGAAATTCAATGTGACAAATGTTTTTCTTCCTTGCAAATTTGGTCTTATCAGTCTTCTTTTATGCTTCTTTAAAAGGGACCTAATTCAAAAATTTAGCAGATAAGTAGTACTTTCTGGACAAGTAGCTAGTAGTATTACCATTAACAAGTAAATATTTTTCTAGTAACTGGGCATGTCTATACTTGCTATTAGTATGCAGCAATGCACTCTGGCACACATTATGCCTTTGTTTATTGCTCTCCAGCACTGCATTTGAATGTGTGCCCAGGACTGCAGCAAGTTGAGCTGGGTTGGAGCAGCCCTGGCTGGCAGGTGGCCCAGACAGTCAGCCTCCCAGCCCAGGGCTGTTCTGACCTGGCTCAAAGTACTGTGAAGGGTCTGGTTGGGGCACGAGGGTGCTCCAGTGTGGAGCTAGCTGGCAGGCAGCCCCCACACTGAAGCACCATTGTGCCCCAGCCATCCATGTCATTTTCTACACATGTGCTGCTGTGAAGTAAAAACCTCTGCAGCTGGATAGTATTTATATTTACAAGTACTACCCTGCTGCAGAGTTAATTAGATTCCTATGCCTATAGGACTGCATATGTATTCATGAGAAATTTCCTGAGAGTTAATTAGCCTACTCTGCAGTAAATGTCTCTTGTAGATGCATCCAGTGTGAAGTTCATAGTGGAACATAAAATATGACAATGATTTAAATGTGAGATGTAATTCTGTATAATGACATCCAGGTATATATTTCTAGAACAATCCATAGACAACATTTTCTTCCCTTGAAGGCTTGTATTCAGCTTCTATTGACTCTAGTTGAAGGCAATTTGAGTACATGCCAGAGAAGAATTTGTCCCAGTGCATTTCTGGTTATGTGCTAGTGCAGCTCTGAGTAAAATCATATGTCACCTTGTGCTTGACAAGCAACTAATGAGTTCAGGAGATGCTTACTATAAGCATATTTCTGAAGAAGGAGGAGATCGTAGGGTAGCGTACAACAGAAGCAGATGTGATCAAGACAGAGCCAACCTGGCAGGCATGGTAGACCTAATCACTTTTACTTTTACTATGTATTTATTTAAAATTTGGGGTTTTTTTCTGTGTCATGACTAGCAGATTTCCCCTTTCATTTGTCCTTTGCTACCAAATGAAATCAAAATCAAATGTGCAACAGTGAAGAAAAGTATATTCTACATACTTGTGACAAGCAAATGCAGAGTGTTTTAAAAAGGAATGCTATATTTCAAAAAATGATTATTCATAACTTTGGAAACATGAAGGTATAAAGGCAGAGGCCTGAACAGACACTGAGGATCCCAACTCCGATCAATAGATAAGAAAATTGAAAACTGAAAGAAGTTTATGAATAGGCTCTTTGGAAACTGCCCCATATGAATATACTATCATTATTGGTGATATCTGTATAAAAGGACTGCTCGAGCAACCTTCTACATTCTAAGTGATCAATATGAAGTATCCTAAAGATTTTCAAATGCATTGCATCTCAACTATTAGTGTGCTAGAAAAATGAGATTTTTTTGCTGGTTTCTTGGGCGTTGGCCTTAGACAAGTTTCATGGTACATTAGAGGTCTGAACCACAGGGAACAAGACTGAAGAGGGCTATTCATGGATTTGGCTTTCTACATTTTTTTTTTACTTGATGGAACTGTTTCAGAAAGCCAGCTGTATAATACTCCTTTTTCAAGCACATGTAATAGATCAGAATTTGTCAGTGAAAAGGAATATTCCATGTATTCCAGTTGGCAGCACAAGTGGTTATGTAGTTTATTAGTAGTGCTAAAAATTTACAAATAATATTGTGAAAAATTAAGTATTTTTCCCCTAGAATTTTAGTTTTGAATAAAAAGGTTAATGGATCGATTTTTCTGTGGCATATTTTGAACTATATTACTTAGCAGCAAGAATTCTGGGAGCAGAAGGTCACTTTAGCTTTCTTTCACTTTGCACAATATACATTCCTGTTAACACTTGGAATAAAATGTTGGGGGTTTTGTTTTATTTTTTAATGAGAAAATCCTCTTATTCATTGGTAGTTTACATCCTGGCCCTTAAGCTGATATTCTGCTCCAATTCTTTTCATAGCAAAACTCCCAAAAACATGTTTGGAACTCTACAAATTAACTTCAGTGTAAAGAAAGATAAAACTGGACTTTAGGTCAAGTTGTAATTCCCTTCCTCTCCCAGGCCCCAGGTATATCTTTGCTGTAGGTGTTCCACCAGTTTATCTAAGCCCCATGCAATTGTTTGGGGGGGTATTTTAACATTCCTAATTGTCTGTGTTCAATTTCCAGAGAGAGCATGTGGGGCTGTGCCAGGTCAACTTTTAACCCTTTGCGTTTTTTCAACTCCAGGTATGATGTATTTTATTGTGTATTATATAATGTTCTGTTTTACTGACAAAGTCTAGTAGCGATTTGTTTTAGTGCCTTTTGCTTCTCTGTCATGTCCTGGTACTGTAAGAGCGGCCATGTGGGGCTGTGCATGGTTAGCAGTTAACAGGTATTTTGGAGGAGAGAGGAGGGAAGGGGCTGGTCTGGATTTTTTTTCAACTCAGGGTAAATAAAATATGAAAATAGAAGCAGCATGTCTGCTGATTGACATTATAGAATATAGCCAAAGTAGACTGTTGCAATTAATTACAACCATATATCACTTCACAAATGTGGTATTCCTCAGCTTAGCTTATAATGAGTCATTGTCAATAAACCTAATGTAACATACTTACAGGATTATGAACTGAGTTATTCATGGAAAAGATAAGTGTCTTATCAAAAATGCATGTCTAAAGTTAAGCTCCTAATTCTATATGATTATATATATGTTCCTAATTCCATATAAAACCCCCTGCTTTCCAGTGATGAGCACTTAACCACACCCAATGAAGTCAAATGTAATGTGGGATGATCCCATACCTGATATGAGGAGAGTGGGGGGCTCCAAGAATTTGTAGTGCACAAACAGACCTTACATAGTATATAATGGGATGTATGACTCTGATTTTGTGTGCGCTATTTGTGTACTATTTCTTTGGATTTAACAGCTTTTTTATTCATTTCTTCTGTTTTATCAAAAGTTAAAAAAGTACAAAACAAAGCATACTGTTGATAGACTTTATATAATAAAGTGTATTTCATTTGGTTCAGTGACACACATTCTGTATAATTCAGCTTCCTAAGTAAATTAAGAAGGGACATCATTTAAAAGCAATTTAGTTTTCTCCTCGTAATGAATAGTCAAATACAGAGATTGTTCCCCAGATCCACTCTCATTATCAATATGCCATTTTCCACCTTAAATACAGAAACTTTTATTATAAAAGCTGCTAAACCTATTACTAAGATTTCCAAAATGGCACTGGCAACTTAATTAGGAGAACCCAAAGCATGAATGTTACTTGGGAACAAAAAAATTATATATATTCTTAACATTTATTGAGCATTTGAACCATATCAGTGACTGCAAACAAATATGTTCTCATTTAAAAACCCAGTCCTAACAACTTTGTTCAATCCAATTGGAAGTGTTTCTTCTTGGAATGAGAACATGCTTCTCTCCTTAAGCTATATTTCTTAAAGCAGTGGTTTTCAACCTTTTTTCATTTGTGGACCCCTAAAATATTTCAAGTGAAGGTATGGAACCGTTTGGAAATTTGGAATGGAGGTGTGGACTCCTTTGAATTGTAAGTGTGGGTATTCACATACTTTTGATTGAACATAGTCATTTTTCATGGACCGCTTAGATACAGTCTGTGGACCCCCGTGGGGTCTGCAGACCACAGGCTGAAAAACACTGTCTTAAAGAAACAGATAGTGGAACATGCATGCACTTTGGATACCGGCTTCTTTTGATCCCCACCATTTTATCCTAAACTGAGGTCTTTAGTTTTTAAATCATGATAATTTGTATACTTTCACTATTTACAGATTCAGAATTGTAGCTTGTGTGTCAAACAATGAATACAAGATATCGGTAATAAGGTTCCCTGGGTTACATGCAGAGGCTACCTACAGATTTAATGAGCCTGATTTTACTGTAGCAACAGTTGTACTTCTCTCTAAATCTGTTGGTTTCAATGCCTTTAGTCCTTCTTCTCATAGGTTTGAAAGGAGAGACTAGCACCCCATACATTGGATTGGTGAAATAAAACTTATCACAGCTAGAACATTTAGGAAGAGTTTTATAGGATCTTCTGTATCTTTTTAACTTAATGGGCCACAAAGTTCCTTCAGTGACCTCTGTGAAATCTCATTTAAACAATGGGGACCTGTTAGTGTGTAGTTTACAGCAGGTGATAAACAGTGATCTCAAAATATCATGTGAAATGATTAACTCCTTTAGTCCACTTAAAAATCTTCACATTGTGAGGAAGTCATTGCAGCTGGCTTTGCTTACTGGATATTTGGGCTACTACAGTTAGGAAAAATAAAAGAATAGGAACTGTTTTGGAAAACTGTGAATTATTTTATTAATTAAATACAGCTATATGAGTATAAATAATTTATTGTATTAACATTTCTCTGTAAAGTGTTGGATAATTTAATGTCCCTGAAATGTTTTTAATTACATTTTAGGAAGTTTGTTATTTTGAATCACATGGAGCTTCACTTATATTTTTTTCTATTATTACATTGCAAAAACTTGCTTTTGTATTAAATTATGAGAGTAGAGAGAAGCACAAGGGAGAATAATTTTCTCTATGATCCTTTCACCTTTGCTGCTTTATTGTACTCATGAGATCTACCAAAGACTATAGAATTCCCTTAATGTTACAGGGATGGACATACTAGCCCAGTCAGTGTAAAAATTTGATTTAATTGTGTTAAAAAATTAGTATCAAAGCCTTTCCTCTTATTGAAATCTAGCAGATTTCAGTGACTGCTGATCCTGATTGTTACTTCTTCTCTTACTTGTCACCTGCCCATTTCCACAAATGGAATTGTGTATTGTGTCCTTGCAAATCTCTCTCCATTTCAGTGTATTACAATGGCTATTTATCCATTTCAAACATTGTTGGGTACAGCATGCTCCTGACCTCTATGTCTGACAGATACCACCTCTTTGCTCCTGTACAATTTACTCCAATTCTTTTGTTAACAACTCAGTCCACAGATTTGGCCAGATGGGAGGTGTTTGGCAGCTGAAGGACCCAGATGCCAAATTCTGGAATATAGCTTTGTTTGTAGGCATGTAGGTTTGTTTCTGGCTTTTTGGCTTGAGTCTGTGCTAGATTCTTGGCTGGATCTCTAGCTGGCAGCTGGAGAGCTGCCTCGGGGGCTATGTTGGGGTCAAGCTGCTGTAGAGTTGGATGACTTTCTTGATCTGAATTATCCTGCTGGCCACCGTTTTCACCTTGGTTTGCCTTGCCACTCAGATTATTCCAAGACAAAAGCTTTCACTTTTCCTTTTTTTATTTCACCCAGTCTACTCTGGACTCATTGAAAAGGTGTTTGGATGGTTACCTTGCTGGGATCATTTGATCCCCGCAGGCTTCCTGCCTATGACAGGGGGGCTGGACTTGGTGGTCTTGCAAGGTCCCTTCCAGCCCCTAATGTCTATGAAATCTATGAGAGGGCCAGAGAAAAACAGTAGTTCTAAATAGTTACTGATATTTAAATAAATTCAGCATTTTGGAGTATATTACTAAAGCTGTTACCTAGTAGATGTGGAAGGACTCAGATTGTTGCTATAGTTCTGCTTCAGGCAAAATTGCAAGTGCAGAACTTGCCTTTTTGAAAATTTGGTTCTGTATCTAGACCTTAAATGTATTTTGAAACCCCTCCTAAGTCAAGCACAAAAGTTAAACCTTTTAAAGAGTTTGCCTGGGCTATCTTTTTTTATCATGATAAAGAATAGTTTCCTTCTGTTGATAATAAACAGTTCAGTGTGCAACTGAAAATAATTAAACACCTCTACAAGAAAATGCTTGATCTCCTTATTACCCAATTCTGAATGCATTCATTACATACTCGAGCTTTATCTCATTTTTTTAGTCTAAATGAGGCAATGAAAAATTAATGGATCAATAATAGCCAAGACATTTGAAGTAAATCCTTTAACTGTTCACTTCCCTCCATGTAGCTCATGTAAACCTTATTTCTTTGAGAAGAATAACAACAACAACAAAAATTCAAGAATGTTTATGACCTACAGTAGAGCAGAGATTGGCCATATCTGTTATGAAGTTTTCATTCCTTCAGGTACAACAGAAGAATGTTTTGCTACATTGGAGATATTGGGTATTTTTATCTCCATTTCTCTCACATCAATGAATTTGGAAAACCTCATAGACATGATTTTCCCCTTCGAAAAGATTTTATTTATTTCCTTAATCTTACAATTGTGATTAGGATCGAATTCAAAGCTTTACACATTTATTTTTCTTACTTCTTTGACTCTTTTATCCCTTTTAGATCTCAAAGGGTAGAATCAGCTGTCCTTAATCATAGATAATTAGGGTTAGAAGGGACCTCAGGAGGTCATCTTGTCCAACCCCCTGCTCAAACCAGGACCATCCCTAACTATCATGCCAGCCAAGGCTTTGTCTAGCCTGGTCTTGACAACATCCAAGGATGGAGATTCCACAACTTCTCTCAGTAACCTGTTCCAGAGAGTTTTTCCTAATATCTAACCTAAACTTTCTTTGCTGCAACTTGAGACCATTGGTCCTTGTTCTTTCGTCTGCCACCACTGAGAACAGTATAGCTCCATCCTCTTTGGAACCATCCCTCAGATAGTTAAAGCTTGTTATCAAATCCCATTTCAGTCTTCTCATCTGCAGACTAAATAAGCTGAGTTCCCTCAGCCTCTCCTCAGAAGTCATGTGCCCCAGCTCACTAACCATTTCTGTTGCCCTCCACTGAACTCTCTAATTTATTCACATCCTTTCTCTAGTGGGGGCCCAAAATTGGACACAATACTCCAAATGTGGCCTCACTGGTGTCGAATAGAGGGGAAGAATCACTTGCCTTGATCTGCTGGCAACACTCCTAATAATGTAGCCCAGTATGTCATTATCTTTCTTTTCAACAAGGGCACACTATTGGCTCATAGTCAGCATATTGTCCACTGTGACCCACAGTCCTTTTCTACAGAGCTCCTGCTTAGCCAGTCGGTCCCCAGCCTGTACTGGTTCATGGGATTGTTCCATCCTAAGTGCAGAACTTTGCACTTGTCCTTATTGAACCTCATGAGATTTTTTGGTCCAATCCTCCAATATGTCTAAGTCAGTGGCTTTTAACTTATGGTCTGCAGACCCATGGGGGTCCACAAACTGTGTCTAAGGTGTCCATGAAAGATAACTATGATCCATCTGTGGTGAGACTATATCAAAAGCCTTGCTAAAGTTCACTGC